ATCATCCTCATCATCGTCTTCATTACCAGCAGCATCACCAGCATCATCAACAGCATCCGCATCCTCATCCTCATCCTCCTCCTCCTCCTCCTCCTCATCATCATCATCATCACCATCATCATTATCACCATCATCAGTTTGTTCCTCTTGTTCCTCTCCCACCCGCTCCTCCTCCTCGTCCTGCTCCTCCTTTTCCTGCTCCTGCTCCTCCTGCTCTTGCTCCTCCTCCTCCCTGCTCTCCTCCTCCTCCTCCTCCTCCTCCTCCTCCTCCTCCTCCTCCTCCTCCTCCTCCTCCTCCTCCTCCTCCTCCTCCTCCTCCTCCCCCTCCCCCTCCTCCTCCTCCCTCCTCCTGAGCCCCTCCTCCCTTCCTCTCCTCGCGCCCTCCCTCCCTCCGCGGCCGGGCCGCCGCAAAAGAGCGCGGCGCAGGCGGGGCAGCCGGGGCCGCCCCGCGCGAGGCCTCCGGCGCGGCGCCGCCGCCGCGGGGAGGGCACGCCGCGCACGAGGCCAATGAGAAGACGAGCGATGAGGCTGTGTTCCCTCCTGTGGAGGATGCTCAGGGGTACGCGTGAAGCCAATGAAAGGACGAGCGATGAGGCTGTGCTCCCTCTTTGGAGGATGCTCAGGGGTACGCGCGAAGCCAATGAAAGGACGAGTGATGAGGCTGCGTTCCCTCTTTGGAGGATGATCAGGGGGACGCCGCGCACGAAGCCAATGAGAAGACGAACGATGAGGCTGCGTTCCTCTTTGGATGATGATCAGGGGGACGCCGCGCACGAAACCAATGAGAAGACGAACGATGAGGCTGTGTTCCTTCTTTGGATGATGATCAGGGGGACGTAAGACCTGGAGGGACAGGCCCGACTTAACCCTTCGGCGGTGGACAAACCTTCAATTAGCAAACCTCCCCTTAGTTTGTTGTTTTTTCGTTTTGTTTGGGGGGGAGCTTGCGCCCTTGTGCGGTCTTCATGTCGGTTAGTCAAAATTATGCGTTGCCTGGGCCGACTAAGTTCGATGAGCCCTTCATGGCGCGCGCGCTTCCTTCCAGTGCGACCAAGACTCTACTTCAATCGCGTTCTCCGCTTTCTTCGGCCACGGGGCCCCACGTGAACATTCCAAGTTTTTTTTCTTCGGGCTGCAGCAGAAAAACGTACTCTGACTATTCCTGGGCGATTTTGAACATCCTTCCTGTGGAGGGACAGGCCCGACTTAACCCGTCGGCGGTGGACAAACCTCCAACTAGTAAACCTCCCCTTAATGAAAACGACTCAGGGCCGAAATCGATGGCCCTGGGCCCGCAAAAAGGAAGGCCGCGACGCCCTCTCGCGAACCGAAAACGGCCAATTCCTTGATCGACGTGTCAGGGTAGGGGGTCTGTCCACCTCCGAACCCTATGATCAGGGGGACGTAAGCCCTGGGTACAGGGGACTCGGAAGTCCCCGACGAGGTCGTCAAAAAATGACGAGGCCGAGCCTGCGTTTCGACGAGGCCTCCCGCTGCAGACATCCCACGGAACTCCTCCTCGTCAAAATCCGAGGCGCGGTCGTCAAAAAACGATGGCGAACTCGAGTCCTGGCAAACCTGGGTCTAACGCTCCCCCGAGATGAGCTGGCTACGATGCCCACTCGTGCCCGCCCCGTCCCGTCGTCAGGGGCTTCGCATGCCCCTATGATTCTTTCGGGCGTATCCTCCCACAGGCGGGTTTTGGACGACAACAATAATCAAGCAATGCTCAAACATGGTCAAACATACCACATACCGATTACATTTGTTTGATTATTTCTCCTGGCGGTCGTCGTCGCAAGCTCGTTCGAATCATCGGCTGCGTCCGCAAGGTCGCCCCAACTTGCGTAGCAAGCGCGACTGCGCGCGGCTGGCGAGATGAGCTCTTGGAGCCAATCTCTCGCAAGGGGTCAAAAGACCTAATTGCGCGTTGCCTTGCCCTCGTCCGCGAGTTAGTTAGTTAGTTTGTTGTTTTTTCGTTTTGTTTGGGGGGGGAGCTTGCGCCCTTGTGCGGTCTTCATGTCGGTTAGTCAAAATTATGTGTTTCATGGGCCGACTAGTGTCGATGAGCCCTTCATGGCGCGCGCGCCTCCTTCCAGTGCGACCAAGACTCTACTTCAATCGCGTTATCCACTTTCTTCGGCCACGGGGCCCCACGTGAACGTTCCAAGTTTTTTCTTCGGGGGGCTGCAGCAAAAAAAAACCCTACCCTGACTATTCCTGGGCGATTTTGAACATCCCTCCTGTGGAGGGACAGGCCCGACTTAACCCTTCGGCGGTGGACAAACCTCCAATTAGTAAACCTCCCCTTAGTGAAAATGACTCAGGGCCGAAATCGATGGCCCTGGACCCGCAAGAATGAAGGCCGCGACGCCCTCTCGCGAACCGAAAACGGCCAATTCCTTGATCGACGTGTCAGGGTAGGAGGTCTGTCCACCTCCGAGCCCTATGATGGTGGGGTGGGAGGACGGGCCGCCACTCGGGTCGGGCGAAAGGGGGGATAGCAAAGGGGGGGGGTTGAGAATCAGCTCACGTAGCTGATTTTCCCGGCGCTTCCCAGCGCCGGGAGGCGCCCGTGTCTCGAGGAATGGGCCCCTCGGTGAGCCCGAGACCAGCTGCATGCAGCAAATTTCGGAACCCCCCCTTTCCCAATCCCCCCCTTTCGCCCAGCCCGAGCCACCCCCGGCACTGCACAAACGGCTCGCTGCCGCCGCCGCCGCCGCCGCCGCCGCGCGCTGGGCCCCGCCGTTCTCGGCGGCTCCCGGGCGAACCCAGCGGGCGAGCGGCAGCATGCGCCGCGCGTCTTCGCAGAAGGCATCTGTGCACCACCACCGTGCCGAGGCAGGGCCATCCTGGGGCCCAGGACGGTGCATGCGCCCTCCTGGCCGAGGCCAGGAGGGTCTATACGCCGTCCTGGGGCCCAGGATGGCCCTGGCCTGGCACGGTGGTGGTGTACACCCTGCGAAATGCTTAAGAAATCATGGGTTAAGAAATTCATAGTCTCAGAACTTGAATAAAAACCCAACATGTCTACTAAAATCTTCAGATTTACATCGAAACGTCAAGAATAATCGAGACTCTGGCCGAAAATTTGGGTTTTCTTAAGCATCGCCTAAGGTGTATAGATGCCTTCGTGGGAGCGTCCGCCCCTCCGCGGATGCCGGAACTCCCGGGGGCGGCCCTCGGGGCACCTGCGATCGCCCCAGGAGCGGCCCACGAGACCCCATGGGGAAGACGGCCCAAGAAGCCCTCCGTGTCGCCCCAAGTCAGAGCACGAGGCTCCCAGGACGGCCCCGAGACGGTCCGAGAGGGCCCCTAAAGACGGCCCAGAAGACCTCCCGAGAGGGCACCAGAGGCGCCCAAGAGAGCCTCAAGAGGGGGAATCAGAACTGACATGTCTGAACCTACCGCGAAAGATGGCCCCGGAGACCGCCAGCAGGCCCCGGGAACTCCCAAAAATACCCCAAGAGGCCGCCGAGGGGCCTCCCAGGAGACCCTGAGAAGCCTTCCAGAGAGGCGTCTCAATACCCCAAGAAGCCATCGACGGGCCTCCACATCCTCCCCTCCTCCTCCTTCCTCCTTCCTCCGCCTCCTCCTCCTCCTCTCGCCACGAGCACACCACCTTATAGCATACCAACATATAGCACGTGGTTTCACGCAGTCATCTCTGTTTCACCGAATTGCCAGCGCAACTCTGGCGCGAACGATCTCTGTCTGTCTGTCTGATACAGCATGGGCTGGCGGAGCGACGAAAGGATTCATACTCCTCCCTATCGCATCCCCAGACGTGTCGGCAGGGCGGGCTGGGCGTTTCGCCCGAGACTTCCTCACAGTGCATGATCCTGAAGCTTGAAATATACAGCAGCCTCAAGATAGAGTTCGGGTCGTTTTCAAGATGTGGCTCGCGCGTTAGTGCCGCGCACACTCGTCTTCACATCTTACAGAGGCTTCAAGGCTGGAAGGGCGGGACGTTTCCAAAATGCGAATACCTCCTTCACACCGTGCGCACGTGTCCTAAAGGTTCGCAGCAGCGTTAAGGATGGCAGGTGGCCCGTTTTTCATAATGTGGCACTCGCATTAGCGACGCGCACGTCCGTTTCAAGATTGTGCAGCAAGTTCATGGATGCAAAGCCGGTCCTCAGAACAGATGGATATCGCCTTGGCGCCGCGCGCATCTGTCTCAATCTTCTGCAACAACTTCAAGGACGAAGAGCGCGAGTCGTTCTCAAAATGTGGTTCCCCTTTCCGCGCCGCGCAAATTCGCCTGAAGCGTCTACAACTTCCAGGATGGAGGGTGGGCAGCATTCAAAATGTGGCTATCGTCATCGCGACGCGCGCATTTGTTGTGAAGTCTGTAGCAGCTCTAGGGATGAATGGCGGTTCCTTTTTCATATGTGTCTCTCGCCTCAGCGCCGCGCGCGTTCGTCTGAAACGTTCGCAGCTATCCCAAAGATCCCAAGATTGAAACCTCAAGAATTGTCTTCTGGTACGATTTAGCACTGTCAGGACGCAGCCGTCACGCTAATTCGCAGTGAGGACGTCCCAACAGCGATGCTCTGGCACGATCTAAGATTGCCAGGACGCAGGCGTCACGTTGATTCGCGGCGTTGACATCCCAGGAATAGTGTTTTCGCATGATTTACCAGCCTGGAAAATATCCCTATCCCTATGCTGGGCACCTCCTCATCACGATGCCAATCTTAGGGATTCCCTTATTTTTTGAGGGCGAATCCCTAAGATTGTCATCGCCTTTTGGCGTGTCAAGCTTAGGGATAGGGATACGTTCGAGGCTGGTAAATGATTGAGAGTTCTCAGACAATTGACCTTCACTGGAACACTTCCCGCAATGAACAAATCTTGTATGGACCTAGGAGGAGGGAAACTTGGACGGAGGCTTCATTGCAACATCATTGACGCATCTTGGGCTCGCAGTGGCTCTCCTCCTCTTCTTCCTTCTCTTCCACCCTCTCTTCCACATCCCTTCATCGTCCTCCTCCTCCTCCTCCTCATCATCATCATCGTCCTACACATTCCTCCTCCTCCTCCTCCTGTTCCTGCTCCTGCTCCTGCTGCTGCTCCTCCTCCTCCTCCTCCTCCCCCTCAATTTTTGCCGTCACTGTGCAACCAATCAAAAGATGGAATGCCACTTGCGGGCCTCTCCACAACAATTCCGACTAGCTACCAATTAGCCCCCCCTGCTCTAAACAGCAGCCCTCCTTGGAAGTCGACTTTGACACTCTTCCCGTTGTCGTCTGCGGCGAACCCGACGTGCAACGGCCTGCGCCGAATGCTGCACGCTGGACTGGAGACCGAGGAACGACGTGGGGCAGAGCCAAGAGACGATACAGGGAGGAGGGACGCCGACGTGAGACGTCGCCGCCGACGACGCCCAAGACGGAGCCATGACGAGGACAAATTCGGGTGAGGATGAATCGAAAACCTCTGAAATGCAGCGGCTCTGGAAGATGTATCGGGCGCCGCGGTCTTCTCGGAGCGTTCCGGAACGCAACGCTCTAAGATCGCTCCAGAACGCTCCGGAACGGATTTATCCTCGTCCTAAATCCCGCCCGATCCCTCCCTCCTCGCCACCCCCCGCGTTACCCGCCGCGGAAAAAAGGGGGGGGAGGAGGAGGACGACGAGGAGGTCGAGGACGAGGACGAGAAGGAGGAGGAGGAGGAGGAGGAACACGACGAGGAGGAGAGAAACAGCCGTCCGAACGCCGACGACGGCGACAGCCCCCCAGGCCCGTGCTGGGGCGCAGCACGGCAAATAGACGACGACGACGACGACGACGACGACGACGACGACGACGGCGGCGGCGGCGACGACGACGACGGCCACAGACGGCGGCGACGACGGCGGCGGCGATGGCGACGGCGAGCGCGGCGCCGGCGAGCGACAAAAGGGCGCGCGCCCCCCGGAGGCCAAGACAGGCCCCGAGGGGCCCGAGCCCGGCAGCACGGCAGCGGAGGCGGAGGCGGTGCTGGAGGCGACGAAGGCGGCGGCGACGGCGACGACAGCGACGACGACGGCAACGACGGCGTCGACGACAAAACTAGTTACAGTCGGGGCGTTGACCTGAGGAGCGATGAATGAGGAACGAGGCCCCTTTTTCCCATACATTGAACTCCGATGTTCCATGGAAAACCTCAGGGAAACCCAATAAAGCAACTAAGGAGCACGGAGCCCCTCCCCCACAAAAAGGGTTCCTTCTTCAGGGCACCGACTGTACGTGCGCACGGCCATCGAACAATGGCTCGTGGCTCAGCGCGTCCTTTCGATCTGAGTCCACCGGCAGAACTGAGGCAGGCCGGCGCATGCTGGTGCGAAAGACATCGTGGAAGAACAGAGAACAAACGGCGAGTAGCGAACACATTACTCAAGCGAATCGTTGACCAAATTGTTGTCGGTCATCAAAACATGCTACCCGGACTCTACCAGCCCCCCGACACGCCATGTTTGAGTTGGTCGTCCCTCTCTTGGCGCCTCCTCTTCAACCGCTCGGCGGAGTGGGCAACCCGTTCTTTGGTTTCGGCGGGAGCGTGATCCAATTCCGGCCGTCATACTGGTACACTTTTCCCGTGAAAAAGTTTCCACCATGGCCCTGGAGCCAAGCGATGTCCTCCAAATGTTTACGATATCCATTATCCTTGTATGTGCTTCTACGATTCGGTTTAATACACGATCCCGCTCGGACTATCGCTTCCCATCTTCATCGCGTGGCTCGCTCAGGAATGACTTGCAACCCAAGAATGATTTGCAACAGCGCGAAGACGTCCCAGGAGAGTCGACCAGGAGCAAGCGGGATTCGACCTGATATACTCTCATTCTGTCATCCGCTGGCTCCTCCACCCCTAACACCCTGACATGCACCGTGACATCCTGGCCCATGCAGGCGGCGCGGATCCGGGCAGGGCGGCGGCGCGCGAGGAGCAGGTCTCCACAGCGAAACGTAGCTGCCGCGCGCACGGCGCGGCCCAGCGGCGCCGCGCGCCGGGCTGTCGGGGAAGGCGCGGCACGCCGAGCTCCCTCGTCCCTGGCGAACGTCGCCCGCGCACGGGCCAGCCCTTTTCGCGCGCGCGCCGAGGATCCTGACCCCCCCCCCCTCTCGGGCAGCTCATGTGGGCCTGCCCTCGGGCAGAAGGATGCCCCCTGCCAGCCTGATTTTCCGCCGACGCGATCCAGTAACATTCCTCACGTTTGGTCATCACCCGGTAGAGCTTCTGCACATCTCGCGCCGCGCGGTCCTCATCGCCGCAGGCGCGGTCAGCGGACGTGGCGCGCAAAACGAACAGCTGTCAGCAAACAGGGCGAGGAGCAGTCTGTCGACCTTCGTGCCCGCCTTCCTCCTCTAGCCTATTCTCACGATGGCGACGCCCCGCTCCCCCAACGGACGCACCCACCCCCATTCGAGGGCCTCTTCTCGAACTTCACGGAAGCAGCGTCGAAAGAAACAGAACACTCGAACAATGCTGCGTCTGGGCCTCCCTGCAACGAAGGGCCCGGCTCGGTCCGCGGTGCGAGGTGGGCGGGGGCCTCGGCGAATGGCATCTCGGGAACACGGCCCCGCATCTTCTGGAGCCGAGCAGCAGCTGGTATCCTCGGAATCCTTTGGCGGAGACGATTTCAGATGATGGGCGAGCGCGGCGCGCGGTCCTAGGCTTCGCGGAGATCGCGGAGATCCCGCGCCCCCGCGCGCAGTGCATCTCCGCGCGCTTGAGTTTCTTCCCGCAGGCTGTCGCGTTGCACTGGCGCTTTCGCAAGCCTGCTTCGGCGGCAACCGAACTGGCGGCAGGAGAGGGGGGGGAATCGAACTCCACCAGAGCACCAGCGCGCGTGAAACGCAGCCTGACGACACGATGAGGAATGGTAGTGGGTCGGACACGTTGATAGGCCTGTTTTCCACCACCACCACCATAAGTTGGAGGGGAGAAGCAGGAGGAGGAGGAGGAGGAGGAGGAGGAGGAGGAGGAGGAGGACCCCCTCCTCCTCCAACTTATGGTGGTGGTGGTGGGAAACAAGCCCGTGACATGTGGAACTTCACAGGCCCCCATGTGCTCTCCCAGGAGGGCAGCTCGCTGTCGGGCAACAGGCGAGCCCGGCTCTTCGCCCAAGGGCTCGTGAACCGCAAGACGCGCGGCTCTGCCAGCCCTCAGGGAGGAGGAAGAGGAGGAGGAAGAGGAGGAGGAAGAGGAGGAGGAAGAGGAGGAGGGAGGAGGAGGAAGAGGAGGAGGAGGGAGGAGGAGGAAGTCCTGGGCGTCGCTGCTGCGGGCTCGCGAGACGCCAGCCGCCGCGCCGTCGCCCAGCGAGCGCGTCTCACCAAGTTTCATTTGTTAACGGGCGAAGAACGGTATACAATACACTTTTTCGCTGTCGGGGGCGCCTGTCCCAGGGCGGCTGGGAAGTTTATACCCTTGCGGTGGCACCGTAGGGGTATGAACTTTCCAGCCGCCCAGGGACAGGCGCCCCCGACAGCGAAAAAGTTTATTGTATACCGTTCTTCGCTCGCTGAATTTGAGCCCACCATTTCTTGCCGAGAGCGGCCTTGCGCTGGCGCCGATGGGTCGAGGCCGCCTCCGGTGGCCACCGCGGCCGCGCCAAACTTCGCAGCCGATCGCCCCGAGCTGAATTGCAGCGCCGCTGCTAAAACAGAACCACCTTCTCTGAAGGGGCCCTGGGACACACAAATAAATACACACAAATAAATATGTTCCCCAGATTTTCTAATATTTTCTGGGTTTTTGTCTTCCCCCCACTTCCCATATTTTCCCATATTTTCCTGGGAGTCGACGATGAATGGTGTCTGTCGACGTCCGCGACCCCCCCCGCGCCGCGACGCTTTCGAGGCGTGCGCCTCGCCGCCCTGGAGCGCCCCCATGGACTTCCACTTCCCCTGATTTGAGAGGTACTCGCGCTTTGTATCGTTAGTGGCGCATGGAAGTTGGTGCGTTGCACCGCTCGATGACTGCTGACATCGCGCCGAAGGCTCCCGTCCGCCTCGCCGCCTCTGGCCCGCGGGGCCTGGGCGGCTCGGCGGCCCAGCGGACGGCCCAGCGGACGGCCCCGCGGGGCCCCCGGGGCGCCCGCGGCGGCCTTTGCCCCTGCGTCAGCAAGCTGCGTCGGCAACCGCAATCGCCAAAACGTGCCGACTCGGAATAGGTCGGCCGCTGGCGGTCGCGTCTGGCCGTTCAGCGGCGGGCTCTCCTCCGAATCGAGGACTGGGATCTCCTTCCACTCGCGAGGCCCGGCAAGGATATCCGGCCAAACGCGCCGGAGCAGCGGCGCGTGGCGCCCGCGGCGAAAATGGATCATCTTTTGGCGGCGAAACAGCAGCTTGCAGCGCATCGCCGAAACGCCCGTCGTCGCAGATGCCCGAATGAGGTCGCGCCCAGGTTCGATTGTCGGCGCCGGTACGTCCTTGGCTCCCATCCAACATGTGCGCGCCGATCGGCCCAAACGTTCCCGCGGGCTCCACAATGCCCTTCCGCCCAAGCGCAAATAGCACGAAACTGCCTGAACACCTGTTCCCGCCCGCGCTTGGCCCGCGTGGCCAGGACGAGGCTACATGATGGCAAAGCCCAACGGGGCGCCGCATTCCGCGCCCCGGATGGGGCCCGCGAGGATCGCGGGGACCGCAATCCCACCCCCCCGCCTCCGTCTGCACGGCTGACTTATTCGTGCATCGGACGGCCGCCCTGTAACCCTGAGAGACGGGGCCAGCATGCTTTGGGCGACAGGCGCGCTCGCAAGAGACCTGGGGGGGCCCGATACTGGTGCGAGACAAGGGGGTCCTTGAGCGCGGCGAAGCCCCAACGGCAGGTCGCGGTCGTTTTCGCGCGAATCTTGAAGTGGCAATCGCTCGCCAAAACTTACCTGGTCGAGCGGCGCTGGCCCCCCCTCGGCCTGGAATGTCAACGCGGCCCTCGAGGCGAGGGGGGCAGGCGCGCTCGCGGAGCTTCCGCCGCGCAGGTTTCGAAACAGAGCGGCGAGCACAAGCTTGCGCGGAGACGTGCGTCGGGCGCCGGCTGGCAAAATACCGGCGGGCCATTGGCGCGTCATCCGACTTGACGGCGCCTCGGACGCTGCCGCCTGGGCGCCGCGCGAGCCAGGCCTGAAACCCAAGCTGATCAACGCGAACTTGATGCATGTCGGGCCCGGCAACGGCCGCCGTAGAAATAACGCAGCCCCGCCCACCGCGGGCCTTCCCCGCGCGCTCGTTGCCGCGAGCTTCTCAGCGAGAGCAAGCTCTGGCCTCCAAATCGCGACGCCAACTGCGC